CCTCCCAAGTAGCTGGGACCACAGGTGCCCTCCACAATGCCAGGCTATTTTTTGGTTTCAGCAGTCATTGTTGTTTGGCGGCCTGGGCTGGATTTGAACCTGCCAGCTCAGGTATATGTGGCTGGTGCCTTAGCTGCCTGAGCCACAGGCACCAAGCCTACAAGATGTTTTAGAAATAAGCTTAAAACAGTTATAACTGTAAGAATTTTTAGAAATAAACTTGTAGTAATCACAAAGAAAATACTTAGAGGATTCACAAAAAAAAATAAAAAAGAGAGAAATAAATCAATGCATAACTACATAAACATCAAAGTAACGTAATGAAAAACAGCAGGAAAGGGAAAGGACAAAACAGCCACAAGACAGAAAACAAGCTATTCCCAGTATCAGTAACTACTTTAAATATAATGAATTAAACTTCCCAATCAAAAGACACAGAGTGGCTGAATGAATAAAAACACAAGATCCAACTATATGTTGTCTACAAGAGACTCACTTCAGATTTAAGAACACACACACTAAAAGTGAAAGGATGGAAGAAGATATTCCACGCAAATGGTAAACCGAAGAGAGTTGGAGTGGCCACACTTTACAGATAAACAGACTTTAAGTCAGATACGGTCACAAGAGACAAAGAAGCACATTACACAATGATGAAAGGGTCAATTCACTAAGGACATATGACAATCATAAATATATACATGTACCCAACACCTGAGCATCCAAATGTATGAAGAACAGAACTGAAGGAGGAAACAGCAACACAATAGTAGCAGAAGGTTTCAATATACCACTTTCAATGATGGACAGATCATCCAACAGAAAATCAATAAGGAAAAAGGACTTAAACAATACCACAGTCCACAGTTCAGTCACCTCTTAATATCTGAGAGATGCTGCTTCTAGAGCCCTACTCAAATATCGTAACAAAAAGATACTCAAATTCTTTATATAAAATGGTATAGTATTTGCATCTAACCTATACACTCTCCTGTATACTTTAAAACACTTATAATACAACTAATCCAATGCATTAATAAATGCTTTTTAAGTACCTGTCACACTGTATTCGATTTTTATTTTATTTTTAATTTCATTTATTTATTATTGCTCTCTCATCACTGAATATTTTCTTTTCTTTTCTTTTTTTTTTTTTAAGACAGAGTCTCACTCTGTTGCTCTGGGTTGAGTGTCATAGAGTCATCATAGTTCACAGCAACCCCAAACTCTTGAGCTCAAGAGATCCTCTTGCCTCAGTTTTTCTATTTTTTAGTGGAGACAGGGTCTCACTCTTGCTCAGGCTGGTCTCGAGTTCCTGAGCTCAAGCGATCCACTTGCCTCAGCCTCCCAGAGTACCACTGAATATTTTCATCCACAGTCAACTGCACCTGCGGATATGGAAGCTGTGGATACAAGGGGCCAACTGTATAAACCATGTGGACCTATTAGCCAGCCATTCCACCCACCAACAGCAGAATACATATTCTTCTTAAGAATACAGAGAACAATTCACATAATAGGTCACAAAACAAGTTTTAACAAAGTTAAAAAAAAACTGAAATCATAACCAAGTATCTTCTGTGAGCATAATGAAATTAAAAATCAGTATCAGAAGGAAAACTAGAAAATTCAGAAACAGATAAATATTAAACACAGTTGTCAATAACCAGAGGATCAAGGAAAAATTCAAAAGAGAACTCAGAAAATATTATGAAATGAACAAAAATGAAAATAAAACATACCAACTTTCATGAGATGCAGCAAAAGTACCCTAAAAGGGAAATTTATAGCAGTAAATGCCTACCGTGAAAATAAAGATCTTAAACAACCTAACTGTATTCCTCAAGGAACTAGAAAAAGAAGAAACTAAACCCACACTTACCAGAAGAAAATCAGAGTAGAAATAAATAAAATAATGAATAGAAAGAAAAAACACAACTGGCTCGGCGCCTATAGCTCAACCGGCTAAGGCGCCAGCCACGTACACCTAAGGTGGCGGGTTCGAATCCCCAGCCTGGACCCGCCAAACAACAATGACGGCTGCAACCAAAAAATAGCCGGGCGTTGTGGCGGGCGCCTGTGGTCCCAGCTACTTGGGAGGCGGAGGCAGGAGACTCGCTTGAGCCCAGGAGTTGGAGGTTGCTGTGAGCTGTAATGCCACGGCACTCTACCCAGGGGGACAGCTTGAGGCTCTGTCTCAAAAAAAAAAAAAAAACACAACTAAAAGTGTTTTTTTGAAAAGATCAACAAAACTGACAAACCTTTAGCTCCACAAAGAAAAAAAAGAGAAGACTTAAATACAATCAGAAAGGGGATGTATTACAAATAATGACACAGAAATAAAAAGGATGATAAAAGATCAGAATAATAGAACAACAAAGTAGCTATCCTAGAAAAAAAAGATGAATTCCTAGAAATATACAACCTACCAACAGTAAATCAAGAAGAAATAAAATATCTGTTAAGTGTAGTGGATCATTATCAAAAATCTTCCAACAAAGAAAAGGTCAGATCATACATATACCTTCACTGAAGAATTCTACTAAATTCTAAATTCTACTAATTCTACTTGGAGGTGCCTTGTGTATAGTAAGAGGGCAGATTGACCAGAGTGGGGGCTCCCAAGAAAGAACAGATGACATGTCAGGAGGGCTCCTGAGCACTGGACCAGATGTTTGGTTGACAATAGGGAGTGTCTTAAGGACTGACCAACCAGCAAGAGGTAGAGAAACCACAAAGTGGAGATATGGCCAAGGCCACACAAGAGGGTCTTTGGGGCATGTGTACAAATTATTTAACAGTATTTTTGTTAACACAGTAAAAATTACACCCACCAGCACCATGACAATTTAGAAATACCACAGCAACCTCCTAAAATGGCCTTGAGAGTATAGGAGTGGGGTAGACTCCCCATTTCAGAATTCTCCACCACTTTCCAAGAAAAATCGTGACTATTCCACCTCCAGCTTGCATATTACTAGGGATTAGAATAAAATGGCAGTCCCTAGCCCTGGGGGCAGCCAATCCTTTTAGAACAGTCTGCTCTGTACTGACTTTGAGAGTGTACTATCTTTTCTATACTCTGTCTTTAAACTTAGGGTTTCATCCACTTGCACTGATTGACTCATTCCTTTTGCAGAACATTCTATGCATTAATAAACACTCTGCCTGCTTGCACCTGCCTGGTCTGCTCATTTGCTCTGTCAACTTGGTGCCAGTAACCTCTTCAGTATTGGGAAACAAGAACCAGGGAACAGGGATCTGACATCTGGTCCCCTACACTAGACAAAATCTTATAATCAGAAAATTAAAGTGTTGCCTTTTTTCTTTTTCTTTTAACTAGAGCCCTAACTATACACAAAAAGGCTAATAAAATGTAACATGTTATCTATTTCCAAGAAGAAAAACACAAGTAACGAAGATTATTTTCCCATTTAACTTATTTTGGAGGGGAAAAATACCTCAATTTCATCTAATTAATAACAATTTTAAATTAACTGAAAAGGGTTACCTCAGGAACTTGAGTTTAAAAAATTCAAACTACAACAAAATTTTTTCTAACCTAATAACCTACTGACCTACTTTAGAATTTAGGTTTGTTAAATCTGATACCACAAATATTTGGAGGACTGGTACATCTATTAACATTAATTAAAAGTAGTGCTAAAATTTAAGTCACTGGTATAATTGGTATAATACAAAAACCCAAGCAATAATTCTTAATAATGTTGATCACCACTTATGAAAAATTCTAATGTGCTTCTGCAGATGGTTACATTTATATTATAACTGAAAAGATAATTATTATTTCCAAAAGAACAACCATTTTAACTCGAAAACAAAGGGCCAAATACCTTAAAATTAATTGTTTTTAATATGCAAGGAAAAATGAAATTAAACAGTTATTCTCAATGTATTCAATGCTGAATGGGAACATTAGCCTACCTGTATAATTGATATAAAATAAAAGATATCCTTGATTTATAGCAGTTCCTAAGACCAACTTAAATTGAAAATTGACCTGTAAGAACAAGAATCACATCCCAAACCAAAGTTTTATAGATAGATTTGGCTTGGAACAAATATCAACTGACACGAGAATACTAGCCTGCCAATTGTCAGGATGTGAGATATTTATGAAACCGCATTAAATAAACAAAAACTAAAAAATCAATATAGCTCTCTTTGTGGGATACAAGCCTATTCCAATGATTCAGCTAATGTATTTCTTCAATTAATGTCTGAGCTCCCTATCCATGTAATGGACTAATCTTGCCCAGAGTATATGAGCTCTTATTCCCTTTTTCAGAGATAAGATTGAGGTTTGAGCCTGATCCCAGCCTCAAATAAGTCTCATTTTATAAAACCTGAAGGCACAAGGAGAGCTCTAGCCTCAGAAAGAACCACAAACCAATCCAGGTACCATAGCCCCAAACCTACCATTCTACAGCAGCCTCTCAACTAACACCCACAGGGAGAAAGGGAAAGCCCTCTGCCAGGCAGAATAAACCTTCCA